AGCGGCGGCGGCGGGAGGGAGGGAGACCGGCGCAGGCCACACTTCGAGGTTGCTCGGAGCGGGGGGGGGAAGAGGCCAGGGGGAGGTAGTTGAGGGGGTGGTGGAGGAGACGGAGAACTTCTGCTTCTGCTTCTTCCTCCGCCGCCTGTTCAGTGTGGAGCTCCCCAGCTCCTCCCCCCGCGAGTTTCGCGGGTCCTCTTTCTTGTCTATATATCTAATTCCCAAGTGCCCCCCCCCCCGGGCGGATACTTATTTCCGCAAAACAAGGGCACCTGGAGGCTAAAGAAGTTTTTCTGCACTCTTGGAGTACTCTCCAGGGTTGCAGAAAAATCGTACATGTTTTAAAAAGTATACGGGGGATACTCAAATCCCCTCCCAAAGTAAAACGGCATTCTCTACCTGCTGATCTATGTTAGAACACTCAGGAGCTCAAGGGAAGCTGCGTCACCGTCTGCCCTGCTGCTAAGAATGCTGGGAGCAGCTGTTGAAGCCACGAGGGCAACAGCCCATGGCTACAGCCCTCCGCACACACCGCCACTTCAGAAATGACCCCGCAGCCTCTACTTGGAGATCTACGATCCTTCCAGGCGCTTCTGTGTATGGTGAGCCTCTGGGGGAAAGACTGTACTCTGCAAGAGGCTTCATAAGGTGCTCCACTCCTCTGCATTATCACATGGCTTTATTTACTTTCACTTTCCAAGACCAGTAAAAGCTCAAGCGAAAGGCTAGATATTTTGGAGAGAGCCCCTCTCACCATCAGAGCATTGTGTTTAATACCTTACCAGTTGCACCTGGAGTCTGAATGCACACATTTTAGCCTTGAACTGCTACTGAGCCCCTGCAGAAGTGATTTAAGCAAGAAAGAGATGCATATTTATTTCCTTTACAGTGCAACAGGTGCCAGAGAGAGAAAGAGAGAGACTAATTATGCCAGCTCCAATGTTCCCTCTAAGCTGTGGAGTCTTGTGAGCAAAAATTCTACTTCGTGAGCAACTGGCATCAAAGTTGTGAGCAAGCAGTTTGGCTGCTGCATAAATTAGGTTACTCTGGAGCCATCCTTCCTGAGCGAAGACAAAAATGTGTGAGCCAGAGGCTAAAAAACTGTGAGCTAGCTCACACTAACTCAGCTTAGAGGGAACACTGGCCAGCTCCCCTCCTTCCTTCCCCTCCCACTATAGCACACTTAACCTTTTAAATGCCAGGATACAGTGGTCTCTGATGCACAGGGTCGCTTTGAATATTGTATTGCTGTGCCCAGTAATTCCCACCCCCTGCAGTCTGCAGGAGATGCTCTATGAGAGGAGACGGGAGCTTAAAATCTCTTCCCCTCCCTCTCTCTCTAAAAAATAAAAAGAAATATGGGGGGGGGGGGTTAAAAGCCCAAAATGATAAAAGGAGAGCCTGTAGGTAAGTAGGTAAGCTACCATAGCTTTCCAGGCTAGGTTCTATTAACAAAAGGCAGGGGGAGGAGGGAGGGCTCAAGGAATTCATTGGGGCCAGACCTAGGAAGGGTTGTTAGCTCCAGGTTAGGAAATCCCTAGAGCTGTTGTGGTCAGCTCTGAGGAGGCCAGGGTTTGGGAAAAGGAGAAGCCTCAGCCAGATATAATACCACGGAATCCACCCTCCAAAGGAACCATTTTCTCAACTTAGAGGGATAGATCTCAGTCATCTGGAGTTCAGCTGTAATTTTGGAGATGTCCAGGTCCCACCTTGAGGCTGACAACCCAAGGCCTGGCAACAACCTCTGGGTGATTTGATACCACCCAATACTTAAATATTTGGTGGGTGGAGCCTGGGGAGGATGGGGTTTGAGGAGGGGAGGCACCTCAGAAGAGTATAATGCCGTAGATTCCACCCTCCAAAGCAGCCAGGTGGGGGTTGGAGATCACACAGAATTACAATTGCTCTCCAGATGACAGAGATCAATCCCCCTGGAGAAAATGGCTGCTTCAGAGGGTAGACTGTATGGCATTACACCCTGCTGAAGTCACTTCCCTCCCCAAACCTTGCCTCCCAAGTCTCCACCCCCAAATTTCCAGGAATTTCCCAACCTGGAGCTGGCAACCCTAAGGAAAAGGGGAGAGGCTATGGGGGCTTTCAGGAAAGGGGAAGAGGAAATAGTGGGGAGGGGGAAATGAGATGCCTCCCGCAAGTCCTTGCGGATTCCCACTTGTTTTATTCTAAATCCATGCAATGTTTTAGCAAAAGGAAAAACAAAAAAGCAGAAATGGCTTGTCATCCTTCAGAGGAGTAACACGAATATCCAGAACAGAACATATGGCTGCAATTTATGAAGTGCTAGCCAAAGACAAATCTCTGCAGGACCTGGAGCATGGATGTAGAATTGCTTTAGCGTGTTCTACTTTCGATTCTATTTATGCTCCTGGATGTTTAGGGAATAGTTTTACGTTTGCTGGGCACTTCAAGCCTGCAGTTGATGAGACAGAGTAGCAGCTGCACTGCACACTTATAGAAATGGGGCTGTGTGGTTGCTTATTTAAATTCAAGCCCTAACAAGGTGTGTTCAGAAGGCCAATATTATGCATTGACAAACTGTGCCTTTTGGATCTATTGAGAAATCACTGGTTATTACACTATATATGTGTGTCCTGTATAGGAGAGTGAAGAGGCTCAGTGGCAGAACACTTGTCTTACACTGCAGAAGGAAGGTCAAAGGTTCAATCTCTGGCATCTCCAGGTAAAGAGCCCTGACCTGGATAGTCCTGGCTAGCCTGCTCCCGTCAGATCTTGGAAGCTAAGCAGGGTCAGCCTTGGCTAGTATTTGGAAGGGCATCCTCCAAGGCATACTAGGGCTGTGACACAGAGGGAGGCAATGGCAAACCACCTCTGAAATGTCTTTTGTCTTAAAAGCAAGTCTAGTTGGCCACCTTGTGGTGCATAACACTAAAAAAGAGCTAGAACTTCTGGCTGCCAGACAATCTTAGGATCTCCTGATTATTCTACACACAATGCCATACAATAACAATTATTATTATTATCCAGTCACTTGGGCCACTTACTTTCTACACAAAACTCATGCACTACATATAACTACCCACCTATTGTGATCACTTATCTCAGATAAAAAAGTAATCTTTAATCTTGTCAGCAGTTCTGAACACTCTATTATCAATCAATGGATAACAAAGAAATCAGAGGATGATGTGTATTTAAAGGTTGCTCTCCTAGAATAAAATTACTTTAAAGGGCTTCAAGTTACTGTGATCAAAATAGGAGTCATTTCTCTTTGATGTAAGAAATCATCCACAGCATATATGCATCCAGCATCACAAATGCTCTGATTCAACAGCTGGCTCATAATTCACAAGCCAAGTGCACATGATGTGTACAAAATAATGTTGGAAGACCTAAACACCATAAAGTGTGGAGATGTACATGTTCAAACAAGGGATCCATACTGGGCACATGCCAAGGAGCTTTGAACCAATCATAGCTCCCCAATACAACACTAACATTTGTCCCACATAGTATAGAGACACACCCTTCTACACTTAATGGCAACCTCTGTAATTAAATGCCAGCAACATTTTAATATTAAGAGGCAAACTACTTCATAATTCAGAGCAATAGATCAACAAAGAGCTGGTGTAGGAAGGCTTATTTGGATACCAGAACTATACAACTTACCATTACTGATAACAGGCATTTCATAAAGTTTCTGCAGCCCAAACATGGCTTGTTGTGAGTCCATTATTTGGACGCAGCTTACACAAGGTCTCACAATAAGCAATAAATATACATAGGAGCACCCTGTGCTACTGTTTTAGTGCACTGGCGTAAATCTGTGCAACATTCATACTTGGATTACTTGCAACTGATCATCTCTATCATTTTCTGCAAAACATCTCTTAGACCTACAAAGACCTTTGCCTGCCATTCCCTTCACATACTGGCTATTTTAGCATCACACGGACCCCTCCGATATACCTTAACTGTTTCATTTACTTTCTTAAAAAGCCATGTTTGGTTCCATAGGCTGCAGATCCCTTTAGAGGGTTTTGCCGCAGGAGTGCATTATACTTCCAAAGTGATCTCATTCCAAACACTCCATTAACAGAACTGCCATTGAGCTGTTCCCATTGCTTGTGAAAACAGATTCCTTACTCGATGTATTCACCCTAGCAGGAAAGTCTGGGTCCAGGAAATATACCTTTATACTCTTTCACTTGGAGTAACCAACACTGTTTTGCACATTAAAATCTAGCTTACTATCCCTCCGTACAGAGTCCATCTCTTCATTTATTACAGTGCCATCCTAATCAGAGTTACACTTTTGTAAGCCCACTGACTTAAATGGGCTTTAAAGAGTAAAACTCTATTTAGGATTGCCTCACTCTCTTCTATTTGCTCTTTCTTTCTGATCTTCGGGTTAGAATTTCTGACAACTTCCCAGAAGAAATGAAGATCCTTACTAGGATCCTCCCATTTTTTCATTGCAGGGTAACACTATTGTATCTGAAGGTGGTTGTTCGTCTTCTTTGTCCTGCCTCTGCTTTCACATCACAAGCAAGAATTAGTCAAGAAGTAGGGTTTGAAATAAAAAACAAAACATGAAGACAAAAAGCTAGAGGATCTTCATCAATTATGTACCTTGGGGTAAAGTAGGAAGTAGGGTGCTACTGATTTTCACAACACTCACTTGAGTTATAATGTGTAAGTTTATATTTATCAGTACTTCTACTGTATGCATCATAGGAATAAATGAAACACGCTATATTGCACTTACCCGGAACAAAGCTTCCCTGGACCACCTCCTTATAAGCCCACCAGCCTTCATGGATTTTCGGTGAATTCTGCTGAGCTAAAGGAAGGAAAAGGAAAAATAAAACTAGGGCAACAGCATTTCCTTATACTTTTGCCAGGCTCAATTCACCATGCCCAAGAAGGATCAGAATTGTCTTGTTCATAAAACAAAGTCCACCAATGATGGCTGTCAACTTGAAGGGCCAATGCTCACACTGCTGTTGCATGGCAAGCCCAGCTTGTCAGTGAGGCTAAAAAAAGAAAAAGAAAACCTTGGAATTAAATTAAGACTTCTTGCATATTTTCCACTTATTAGAGAGTCTCAAGAGTCCATTGCGATGCACTCACCAAAAACCAACCAATGTTCAACTTGTGAAAGAATGACAAATTAATCCAATTGTAGGTGTGCGGCTGGTTCCAAACAGCAACTAGTGGTGCAAAACCATGTTTCCCACCTCCTGCCATGCATACCAAACAGCAGTACACACCACACAATTTTGCTTGGCATACAGAACCCATTTTCTGCCCCAGAAATAAAGGCAAGCTCATGAGGTGCAGTCTGTTAAGTATGCAACTCAACAACGAAGTAAGTAACAAGTGATTCAGCTTTATTGAGAACGAGAACTTCCAAAAGATCACACAGCATCAGACGACACAACAACAAACAACAGTGGAGCATAGTTCCTTTTAAATTCTCCCAGGCTGGGGTAGCCACGCCCTCACACAGTTAACATCCAATCATGTTACATAGATAACAACCAATCATTTGTCTTCCCTCCAGCACAGACTCTTGTATTTCAATTGGTTACAGTATATGCTTCAGCTAGGGTTCCCAAATCCCCCCGGGGGGGCGGATTTCCCCCCGCTTTTGAGGCCCGATTTCCGCCCCCGCGGAATCGGGCCCGGGGGAAACCCCACCCCCCCGCGCGTGCACACCCTCCAGACGCCGGGCAGGAGCCCGCCGCCACCAGGTAAGATTCATTTGGCAACCCTAGCTTCAGCCAATGGTGTTGTTTCAGATTAGAATCCGGCTGAGGTCTCAAGCTTAACATAGGTTTAGATGGAGTCAATACACAACACAGTCAGTGCTGACGGGGCTGATTGTGTGGGAGAAGGCAATAACGGGGCGTATGCCTGTCATCTCTTGTTTAGGCCCACACAACCAACAGCTGGGTCAGATAAAAGCCCCTGAGGCACTGGCCAGGCTTGCTCCCAGTGTGTCGAGCCAAGGTCAACTGGTGTATCTCCCCCCCCCTTCACATGTGGACTCTGTATAGATCCGTGTATCAGGAAACAGACTGTCTGCTCATTTATTTATTTATTTTATTTATTCGACTTTTACCCCGACCTCCCGCCAAGGCGGCTCAGGGCGGCTTACAACAGTTTAAAACCAACATAACAATTTATACAATATAAGTCTAAAACAATACAGTCAATAAAATATCCAAATACACTTATTAAAATTAAGATTAAGACTACATTAGAAGAGTCTGGTGATGGGAAGAATTGCTAAGATTTGCAACCCAAATCATGAAAATGACTGTAAAAAAATTCCCCCGAAAAAAAATCTGAGATTGGAAACCAGTTTGCCCATATCCAAGAACAATTAATATCTTGGCCGTAAGACCATCAACTTCCTTTGAACTGAGCTAGCTTGTAAGCTTTCATGACTGTTGAGCAGAAAGGAAGTATTTGAACTAGAGTTAGACTTATAACGCAGAAAATGTTCCATTCTAATAACAACACCTGCAGAAAAAAAATTAATCAAATAATACAAAGATGAAATCTTACTTTCAGCAGCCTCAGACTACAAAGATGTGTACTCTGTCTTTTTATAGAACTATGGAAACCTCTCAGCTACCTGCCAAGCATGTGCTCAGCCTCAGACTTGTACAGTCTGTGGACGATCTCAGCCACTGTAGTATGAATGAACAGTGCTGAACACAAGCAGACACGCAATGTTAAAATCTTTAACAAAACTTTACCTTGCTGTATTGTTTTTGTAAACTGGGTCTCAATCAAACTTAACTGCTGGGTTGGGGAATATAACATCTGGATACTTTTACTGTTAACAGCTTCAAGGATGGAGATTCTGTTTCTTGGTCATGCCACGGTGTGACAAGAGTGTGCAATGTCATGTTGGTAATGAGAGAGTAAAAGGTGGAAACCTTTCAACCCTTCTAACATCTCAGTCTGGGATACTTGAAGGAGTACCCTCTCCCTTAATTTTTCAGATCAGGAAACATATTTATTTGATATTTTTACCTTACGTTGCAGCCAGACTGACTCCCAAAGTGGCTTGCAATTAAAGTCGGTCACATTTTTAATTAAAACCAGTAGCTGAGATGCATAGGGTTGGATCCTACCAGCCTTTCTGAAGAATAAAGGGAAAGCAAGCATTCCTTTTCGCCACTCAAAAGGCTATGATGGAGGTGATGAGACCTGCAGTGACAAAAACCCACATGGAAGGAGGGCTGGAGTGAGAACTGGATTAGATTGTACTTCTTCCATGTTATTTATTTGGATATTTATACCCTACCTCTCCCCCCAAGGGGGACCTAAAAGAGTCCCTAAAAGAGTCTTCCTTGCTCTATTTTATTCTCCCAGCAAGGACCTTGTAAAGTAGTTTAGGATGAGTGTGACTGGCCCAAGGTCTCCCAGTGAGCTTCCATGGCCGAGTAGTGTTTCAAATGTCCCAGATCCTAGTTCGAAACATTAACCATTATATCAAGCTGACTGTTACGCTAGTGGAAAAGTTGACAGAAGGAGCCCAGAGGATTCTCCCTTTCCTATTTTATCTTCTCAACAACTCAGTGAGGTGGATTAGGTGGACAGAGAAAGAATGGCACAAGATCACACAGTGGTATAAACCCAGGCCTCCACATCCTGGTTTGAAACTCTAACCTCTTCCTGACATGGGTCACTGCTGGGTAATCATTTACATTTTCTGGTAATTGTGGTATATGATCATTGTATGTATTTTAATGCTTTGTTAGACAGTATTACAATGTATTACTGAGAATTTTGCTGAAAAGCAAAATACAGATTTTTAAAATTTTACATAAATACTTATCTATATCTATGAACCTATATAAAGATATATAGAAAGCCCTTTTTCAACACTGGGATACTCATAAAATAGATTCAGATTCCACGATGCGAAAAACTTCAGATAATCCACCTGCCCTTCTGAGGCCTATCCTTGATGGCACTTAACATACAGACATATTAATGTATACAGGCCCGTGTCACACAGGAGGCTTTGATCGACAAGAAGGACGGATCAGGGTGCATCAAGCGGGCGCGATCACACTGCAACATCTGGGAAGCGGCGTGCACCCGTCCCCAACCCGTCTCTTCTGGCCGAAGATGCGGATCAAAAAAACCCCTATGAAACACTAGTACTTACTGAAAAATCCATTGCATGGGTGGACGTGTGATCGCCGGCGCGCCTGTCTCTCCCGCAGCATGCGAGGTCCTGCCGAACTGCGCATGCACATGCATGCACAGCGGGCTCGCCTCGTTCTGCGGTCTGTGGCTTCCCCCGGCATCTGATCGTGCCGGGGAGGAACTGCGCGGCGGCTGGGGGGATCTGTCTGATATCACCGCCATGCTTCTCTTTTGGTGCGGCTCAAAAAAGCCACACTTTGGCCGCACCTATTTCCCCCAGTGTGACCGGGGCCAATCATACATATATATGAACTCTACTATTTACTGTTAACTGATGCAGGAAAGATGAAGAGAAAAGTGGAAAGTCTGTCTTTATATGTATTTTCCTGCTTATGAGTTTCCAGCAGTACAAGAAAACAGATAATCATGGTTTTGTACTCAAATGACTAGCTGAGAGTGCAAGCATATCAGTTGTAGGAAGAGGCAATGACCTGGCGAGGCTGTCGTTACTCGACATTTATAAAATCCTTATCAGGTCAACAAGCATCAAGCTAAGCATGCTAAAAAGAAGCTCAAGGGAGGCAATACTAACTACCCAATCCGATATCGTGCTGCGCCAGCAACTACGGAGTTTAGAGGGGCTGCGCTAATGTTCTGTTGGGATTATGCTGAAGCTGGATACACTAAGCAAATGCCCAAGGATTAAGGTGCCAGAGCGGGTCATTTAAAATAACAGAGGAAGGATGAAAAACACAGTCAGAGCCAATCCTGAATTGTACAGCCTGGCAGGAAAGCAAAGACTATGTTCATGTTACGAGGCAAGCGAGGTGATTCCCAGGGCCATATTCACCTGTGAAATCTCTACAGTTGGCACCAGCTCCAGGAAAGCACTATTGAGAAAACTGCACCCAAAGAACATAATATACAGGAATATACTGTGCATCTGAAATACACTCTGAATGCCACCAAGCGGTGTTTGCCATTCTCTGTGAAAATGAAAGCAGAGCTTCTATTTGTACACAAATCCGGGGTGGGTGGGTGTATGTGCTGAAACTTTGATCTAACCCATTCTTCCAACTGGTCTGATGCAAAAGGTCAAGAGATCTTAGAAGATGAGCAAGGAAGCTGGGTATTTTTTCATCCTTAATCTGCATTAAAACTGGATTAGTAACAGAAGTCTCAAAAACACAGAGCTGTGAAATCAGAATGAGACAAGCATACAAATGCTCCTTGCTGGGCATACTGTCTGACGCACTCGCATGCGAACATACACTCACATACACACACACACACACACACACTGTGTCTACCCTGTCTAATCTCATGTCCATCTGATGAGATGGCATTATGCCTGGCTCCCTCCAAAGTCAGTCTGACCTTACAAATGGGTTACCAATTCCAGCTACCAAGAAAGGGGCTTTAAAAACCGACAACTTAAACAACAATGCCCATAACACAATTCTTTTTTTAATGCCAGACTTATAGAAATACATTTATGAGAAAGTTCCCAAAGTAATCTTGTCTGAACAAACAGATCAAGTCCATCCTGTGATGCCATAAACCATGTTTTTGTTCAAGTTGCTCACGGAAATGTATCAGATGCAAGGAATTGTTCTAACTGATGAGTCCCCTGTGACCGAAAGTTGCTTACAATGGCAGGTGGAGGAC